AGGGAAGGTGTCTCATGTGTGTGTGAATTTCTAATGTATTTAAGTACCTACACACGTAGTTTTCACTGGGATTGAGAAACCAGTCTACCTACTTTCTGTGCAAAGCAATGCAACCAGCTGTGCAAGGCATCTGTAAGTAATGCTACAAACCTAAACCACTCTGTCTTCTAGGACTGATGAATGGCTCTCAGCAGCAATAGATTGCTTGGAGTATCTTCCAGATCACATGGTGGTAGATATTAGCAGGAACTTGCCTGATCAGCCAGAGAAAGCAGATACATGGAAACTGCTGCTGTTTGAAAACATTGGTAGATACTACAGCCAGAAAAAGGAGCCACTGCTGAGCCATGCATCTGAAATTCATCTGGGAATTGCAGAACTCTTGGGTAAGTAATTAGAAGCTGTGTTCCAGTGCTTGTGTGGCATTCACTTACTGACTGGCTGTTTACCTCAGCAGCCAAGAGTAAAGGTTGAGCCTGCAAGTATGGGTTTGGTTTTTGAAACATTTCTAATCATAAAGACTGTGCTTTGAAACTTTGGTCCTGACCATGTGCAGTTCTGCAATCTTTGTTCAGGTCTGAGTGGAATGGCTGTGAAACTGGAGTGTTGTAATTTGGTAGTAGCTGGAAGCTAAATATGCATAGGAAATGAAATATAAATATGGTCTAATAGTAAACACTTAGGCCACAAGAGCTGAACTGAAAGCTGTGTAGGTGCTTTGTACCCCATTCACAGCCTTTGCCTTTCTTACACAGAAATGTGTTTCTTCAATTTTGTTTAGACATCATTTTAGAAAGCTTTTGGTGTTTCAGTCCTCAATTAAGTTCTCATCCCTGTTCTCCTTACTTTTCATACTTTTCTGCCTTGATTATTCTTCTTCTATGCTGGTGGGAATATTTTACATTCCTCCCCCCTATGTGGTGATAAAGGGAGGATATTAGTACAACCTATTGTAAGTGATTCACCCAATTAAACTGGCTGTTCTGCATAGTCAGGCCAATTAAAACTTAGCAAAGCTCTACAATGTGTTTTGCAATTAATTCATCAAACTAGCCCAGGTATCTTGGACATATTCCTCATTGTTTGGGAGATATTTATTTCTACAAGAAGAGGTCATTCATTTATTTATTTTTTTAGCAGAGTCATTTTTCTTGTTTCAGTGTTTCACATCCCATTCAAGATGGTTGAACTGTAACTGAACTTAATTACAAGTGAGCTTACTTTAAATACCAGATTGAAAGGCTCTGTGGGATGTTCTCAGACTGTCTGCAAACAGCTCTCATCCACCTGTGAGGAGTTTTTCTGAGAATGAATTGGGCTGTTTGACCAGTCCTGTTTAGAGAGATGAAGGTCTCCTCAGGGGCTAATTGAAGTGTTTTATTGTAACATTTATTTTCATGAACATGCCAATAGATACCCTTATCTCTCCCCAGTGAATGGGAAGATGGAGCAATCTTTAGAAGCTCTTCAGCTCTATTTGAAACTTCTGGACAGCCAAGTCAGGGAGGAGTTCAGAAGACTCCTGTATTTCATGGCTGTTGCAGCACATAATTCTGAGCTCAAACTACAGAAGGAGGTAAGTGTGTGTCCTTAACAACTGCTTTACACCTCCTGAAATCTAGAGATCACAGATGCTGGTTAGAAAACACTTGTAGCTTAAATATGTGACTGCAGGAAAAGCAATGACTCTAGACCATGCCCTTCTTAACAGGGGAGACTAATTCTCTTCTGGTCATTATTTCACTTTGTTCTTTAGAGTGACAACAGGATGGTTGTGAAAAGAACCTTCTCTAAAGCTATTATCAACAATAAAAACTTATCCAGAGGGAAAACTGACCTCCTGATACTGTTCCTTGTGGACAACCAGAGAGATGTTTTAAAGGTAAGAGCTAGAAAATGATCACAATCTGGTTATCTTGTATGCTTATGCAGAATTGCCTTTTCTAAGCTGCTGTTGCCTTGTCTTCTCTTTCCTCTCCAGATCCCAGGGGCACTGCATAAAATGGTCAGCAATAAGCTGCTGGCTTTGCAGAAAGGCCAAGATCCCAACAAGATAACAGGTAACAGTTCAAGCTGAGCTTTTTAATCTTGCCATGCACCCAAATGAGAAATAAATGATGCAGCCAGACTTGCTGTAACAATGTCTAATTTGACTCTGAAGGAGGATGGGCCTGTGGAATCTCCAGGGTTGGCTGAGTGTGGTGTTAACTGACTCAAATGTCTCGTGTGTCCTTTTAGGCTATACCTTCTGCCAAAAACTTGATGAAAGAGAGTATCGCTCCAACACAGAGAAGACCACAAAAGATGAGCTGTTCTCTCTGTTGAAAGCTATTGATGAAGATTCAAAGCTCTCTGACAAAGAGAGAAAGAGGCTGCTAGGTCAGTTTCATAGTAGTAATCCAAGTATTTTTATGCAGTATTTTGGAGACAGAGTTACTGATCTGTGTGTGTGACTTCAAATATAGATTCCTTTGTATACCCTGGCATTGAAAACACTAATATATTTGTAAATCTTTTTGTATTCATATATCTGTCTAATAAAATTATTTTGTGGAAATGAAGGGAATTTATGCAATTATTACCAAAGCTGACAGTACCCAAGTGTAGCCTGTGCTTACAGTTTAGCTCTGCTCATTCTTAGTTGCTGTAGCACCAAAATAATCCTTCCTTTTCCTCACCTAAAGCTGAGTCGATTGACTCCCTCCATATCAAAGTACCAGATACTGCTCCCTTTTGCCCCAGCACTGAATTTTATGCTGCACATTTTTTGTCTAATTTGCCTTGCATTATGTGACTCTGTCACATAGCATTGATCTGTGGCTTGCTGTGTAAGGGACAGAGCTGAATAACATCATCTGCTTGATATTCCACAGCTTTTCTTCAAGCTATACTGTGGGTGACAAATTACTGTGCTGTTTTAAGCTAAAATGGCACCACGTTGAGGAATACAGCTCCTGGGATGGTAAAGATATTCTGGATTTTTAAGTCAGTCTGGCTTGGATTGCCACAGGACATACTGTTTGTGGCTGGTTATCTTCATCCCTGCAGTGTTTTGCTCTGTCTGTAACTTATTGATGGCACCAGCTGTAATTAGGAAGGAGCTGGAGCAAGTGAAAGGCCTTGGGTTTTTCTTATGGTTGTATATTTTATCTGTCTGGTCTGCAGTGGAAATTCCAAGCTTTGCAGCACAGGCACCTGCAAGCAGATCTGTAGCATGATCAGAGAATTGATTTTGACTCTTGGGGAGCTATCTTTGGGCTGATAGCAGCAAAACCTCATTACAGCTGCTGTTGGGGAAAAAAACCAGCAAATTTTGTGCCACTTGAAGTGTTGAGCTCTGTAATTTATAGTAACTCCCTCTCCAGTCACTACTGGTGTCTCGTGCCACTGGCCAGAGAGCTCTCTCTGAAACTGAGCTGAGGCCTTAGTGTGCACAGGACAATGTGCTACTGTGTCCTGAGGGGGGATGGAAGACAAATTGTGTTAAAAGCTTATTCTAGTCAGTTAGAAAGGACTTCTAAGAGATAATCAGCTCCTGAAAACTAATAGTGTGGTAGAAGTATAACCCTTTTTAGTAGGTGGTTCTTTTGGGAGTTTTTTTGTACTTCTTAGTGTGCTTATAATCAAAAGTTTCCACTTCAAGCCAACTTTTTTGAAAAAGGAGCTGTATTCATGTGTCTGTCTTAGAAAATTATTTTGTGGAAATGAATGGAATGTATGCAATTATTACCAAAGCTGACAGTACCCAAGTTTAGCTTGTACTTAGTTTAGCTCTGCCCATTCTGAATTGCTGTAGGAACAAAATAATGATAGAATTTTAGGGGTTGAAATGGATCTTAGAGATCATCTAGTCCCCTGGGCAGGGACACCTCCCACCAGAGCAGGTTGCTCAAGGCCTCATCCAGCCTGGCCTTAAACCCCCCCAGGGCGGGGGCAGCCACAGCCTCCCTGGGCAACCTGGGACAGTGTCTCACCACCCTCACAGGAAAAATCTTCTTCCTAATATCTAACCTAAATTTCCCCTTCTTCAATTTGTACCTATTGCCCCTTGTCCTGTCACTGCAGTTCCTAATAGAGTCCTTCTCTGGCTCTCCTGTAACTCCTTCAGATATTGACAGGCTACTAAGAGGTCTCCACACAACCTTCTCTTCTCCAGGCTGAGCAGCCCCAACTCCCTCAGCCTGTCCTCACAGGGAGATGCTCTAACCCTCTTATCAACTTCGTGGCCTCCTCTGGACTTGCTCCAACAGTTCTATGTCTTTCTGACATTGATGGCACCAGAACTGTGTGCAGTACTCCAGGTGGGTCTCACCAGAGCAGAGCACCCTTGCCCTGTTGCCCACACTCCTTTGGATGCAACCCAGGATTCTTCCTTTTCCTGAGGCTATTGCCTCCCTCTGTATCAAAATACCAAAACACCTGTGAACAAGATGGACACTCAAGCTCTGCCAGGGGAGGGTTAGGTTAGATATTGAGAAGAGATTTTTTCCAGAGAGAGTGCTCAGGCATTGGAATGTGCTGCCCAGGGAGGTGGTGGATTCACCATCCCTGGTCAAGCTGAGACTGGATGTGGCACTTAGTGCCATGGGCTAGTGACCACGGGAGGGTTGGACTTGATGATCTTGGAGTTCTTTTCCAACTTGCTTGCTTCTCAGATCTCTCTGCTGCCTTTTGCCCAGACACTGAATCTCCCACCACCCATTTTTCCCTAATTTCCCTTGCATTATGTGCCGTGTCAGGACACAGCTCCTCTGCCAGAACCAGAGCCGGGTCGGGTGTGTACACACCGCAGGGAGCAGCGCAGGGTGCGGGGAGTGTTCCACCTCAATCCCAGACCCTGGGGCACCCCGATGTGTCTCTGCGGGGAGGATG